TTAAATAAATTGATATTGCCTCTACTAGTATTGTTTATACCTTTCAGCAAGCCTTTTGCAGCTGCAGTTTTTCCAGCATTGTCAAGTCCTACCAGCAGTAGAACAATTTTCCTGAATAAAGAAAAAGAAATGAAAATGAGAGGCAGCAAGCAAAAGTGTGTTAATGGTTTGTATTTATTGTGATAATTATGATCAATTACAAACATTGACAGCCCTGCTTTGTGATACAGGTAGGACCTTCCCTTGACAGAGAGAAGCAGTTACTTTTTGTTGCCTACCTTCTCCGCAGCGTCAGTCTGTCTCTAGAGAGTGTTACTTTATAGCAACAGTTACCCATTTTCAAATGATCTCAAACTAGTGAATCCCCGCACAGTTCATCCTGGCATATACATTTTCTGCCAAATTCTTGGCTGGACACTGGAACGCGAACATAATCACGCTCTCCCCTTTCATTTCGGTTTACAACCTTCACCAACAATGACAACGAAAACAGCAAAGCGTTTAGTAGAGACTGAGTTAACTAACGCATAGATTGAAAAGTCTGCGTTAAAGAAATAAAAAAAAAATAAAAAAAAAAATGAATTACTGCTTAGCGTATTAAACCAAACCGGTTTTCGCCAGACACTGCCAAGAAGAATGTTGGCAACATGGTGGACTTTTGTTTACGTTTCGTGGTTGCCATGACGACGGCAAGTGTGCGTGTGCCGCCGCCGTGTGTGTGTGTTTGTAGATCGTCTTGATGACTAGTGCAGGACCTAGGACTTCTTGAATTATTTGTTGGCGTGGGAGGAGTTTGTTCCGAGCCAGCCGTTGTCGTGTTTGAACTTTCCACTCCTCTCTGCCATTGGTGAGCGTGGGCTCGAATCGTCATGTCGAAGCCTTTCGCGTCAGAAGATGTCGATAGCGTTGATTGCCCCTCGTCCTGGCAGTCCAACAGGTTAAGATGATAGCGCAGTGCCGGCTAGCAGATGTCGATATGTAATCACCCGTTTGTCGACGGGTTCGACAGTATTAACCTTATCTGGAATCCTTTTTCAGGTCTTGTGTTGAAAATGCTTCACAGACTGCTGATTTACAGTTTGCTGATGCCGGTGTACAGAGTACAACTACAAATTCTGT